GACAAAGATGCCTAAAAAATTTGCTGATATTCTTTTTTTTAGGAAAGTGATTTTTTTATTTTTTTAAAAAATCTAAATATACCTTTTTTTTAGTGGATAAGAAAGATGGCCTCAAGCACCCACTCTTTTTTCTTTTTTTTTTTGAGATAGAATGACCTTAAAAAAAGACAAAACAATTTTGCACAAAAATGATTTTTTTTTTCTTTTTTTTGAAACAAAGAGACCTTATGAAGTTTATTTATTTATTTATTTTATTGTTTATTGCAAAAGAATTTTTCTTTTTCTTTTTTTAAATGAGAAAGGCCTTAATTTGTTTTTTTATTATTTTTTAGAAAACAAGATGGCCTTAAAAGAATTTTTTTTTTTTTTTTAAAGACTAGTGGCTTTTTAAATTTTGTTTTTTCTCTCTCCCACACCCTAACATGATCTTTTCTTCCTATTTTCTCTCAATCTCTTTTCTCTATTTCTTCTCTCTATTTTCTCTCAATCTCCTTTCCGTATTTTCTCTCAATCTCCCTTCCCTATTTTCTCTCAATCTCCTTCCCATAAATTTCTTCTAAAGGGATTTATTGCTATCTAAGTAAATCTCCTCTCAAGTGAATAGTTTTTATCTATTCCCCAAAATCCCCTTACCAACTCACACACCTCATCCCACTTATCTTAAAGTCACGTATTAAAGTCACGTATTATTGATATGAAAAACTATCCCATGATTAAGGAAGAAGAGACCAAAGAATGTTTTGAAGATTAAGGGTGGCTGTACCTTAAGGGTAGATCTAGGGTGGTTGTGCCCTAGGTCGAGGTTTTTCCAGACTTGCGTTTCCTCTCAGGAGGCTTAGGTTCTTAAAGCAGTTTCTAGGGTTTTTTCTTCTCTCATGTAATTCTCTCTCTGGTTTTTTCTCTCTGATCTCTATCTTTTCTCTCCCCGATCTCTATCTGTTCTCTCCCTTAGGGTTTTGATCTCTCATATTTTTTATCTCCATCTTCTCTCTCCTAAGGTTTTGTCTGTCTCTCTCTCTCCCTTTCCAAATAACCACGAAAAGAGGGTTTATAGTGTCAAAATCCGCTGGGGAGGATATATTCACATAACCTACACGTACTTATCCAAAAAAATAGGCTTACTAGGTTAAGTGTTCCTAAGGGTTAAGAAAACTACAGAATTTGCCAAATTTAGAATGGAGTGTCTACATCGGTTAAATTGGAAACGGCCATTGGCTGATTCCAGTTTTGGTCGATTTTGGTGATTTTGAAAAAAATTTCATTTTTTTTATAAAAACCCAAAAAAGAAGGGATTTTGTTTGTAATGTAATTTTTAATTTTTTTTTATCATTTTGGCAAAGATTGGAATTTGTTTTGGCCATTAATATTTATTTTTACATTTTTCCAGCTTTTTTGAAAAATTTCAAAATACCCTTAGGCACAAATCGATTCTTTAAAATGTATTATTTTCATTAATTTTCAAATTCATTTGGATGTGCTTTGTTTAGTCATGCTTTAAATATCCTTTTCATATTTTGTTAGATTTTTTTTGTATTGTTTATTTTTTAACACTTTTTATCCGCTCGGTTAGGCTGGTTTATTGGTTAGGTTGGCTTACTTGTTAGGCTGGTTGGGCCCCTACCCATTTTTCATTAATAAGTAAGAATAGTTCAAAAAGATAAAGAGTTTATAGTATAGTTCTTTCATGACAAGTCCTGGCCACATCAGAAGAAATTAGAGGAGAAATAAAATTAGGTGGCTGGGCACACCAAACCGTGGCCTCAGAGAGACTTGTAGCATTCCTGGCCAATTGATCGGTCACCGAGTTGGCCTCTTGGTAGACACACTTAATACTCTAGGGGCATCCATCTAGGTGTTAAAGGCAGTTTGCTATCATAATGCAGAGATTCCAAGGGGGCGTATGGCAGCCGTGAAGGGATGCACCAGAATATGTGAATCACTCTCAATCGGTAGTGGAATGGAATGCAGCTTAATAGCTAGCTGAATGCCCCTTTCAAGGGCTGAAAATTCAACAACATTGTTGGATGTATGCCCTAGAAGAACAACAAATGTGCCACAAAACCCTCCCTTATCGTTTCTGATAATTCCTCTGCAACTAGCTGCTTTAGGGTTGCCAAGGGATGAGCCATCAATGTTTAGTTTATAAAGACTTACTAGAGGTGGAGACCATTGGACCAAAATCAAAGTTTTAGGATACATTGGGTACGACTAGATCTTGAGGTTATCAACTCTAGGCTTCTCTGATGGGTGGAAAGTCCATCCTTTCACCTTTGCTAAGCCCGCAACAATAAAAATGATCCGGTTCAACAATTATTCCCTTTTGGGTCTATTTTCTTTAGAGATACACAAATTCCTCTCAGTCCAAAGGAGCCAGATGGTTGTGGAGAATAGAGAGATCCAAACGTTACGTAATCTTGCTGATCGGAATCAAAATTTGACCCAACTCTTAAATATTGAAGGTATTGATGGGCCTATAGGGAAACTTTTGCCACATCGCCACATAATAGATCACCAGAGAGCCTGCGAGAAAGTACATAACAAAATAATATGGTTAACAGAATCACCTTCATTCAAGCACAAGGGGCAACAGTGGACTAGATGGATCCCTCTAGACTTTAACAGTTCAGATGTAGGGAGGCAAAGATGAAGGGCAATCCAAGTGAACCATTTGGCTCGAGGATGGGAATGAGAAGCCCATAAATTTTTGAAGACATCTCTGGTGGGGGCCCTATCTCAAATATAGTTCCAAACGCTCTTAATAGAAAAAGATCCGTCCGAGGAGTGATTCCGTACAAGGAAATCATCAAAAGGTTGAAGAGGGACAATGAAATACTTCACCGCTTGCAAAGCTCGAAACAAAGGCCCAATAGTAGTTCTTCGCATAGAGTGGGGTCCAGTGGTGAGGTCAAGCAGACACCATTGTTAGGGATTATCAGAGAGAAAATTAGCCAGACTAGACTTCGCAGGTAGAGCCAAGTTCCTATATATATTATGTCCAAACTCATCCCAGAGAGAGACCTCTAAAAGCCATGGATTTGCCCAAAATTGGATGAAATTACCGTTACCCACAAGGCACTTAACATTGCACTTGAGTTTATTTAAATTAGAAGAGATGCCCTTCCAAGCATGCGACGAATTCTTGGTCTTAGAGAGCCATATGGAGGAGTTTCTGAAGTACCTATATTGGAAAAATCTAGAAATAAGAGAGGAGGGATTTGCAACTAGCCTTCAAGAAAGCTTCATCATGCCAGCCAGGTTCACATCCTGTAGATGTCTAATACCAAGGCATCCCTCCTAAAAGGGAAGACATATAGTCTCCCAATTTAGAAGATGCAGTCCCTTCATATGTGAAGTACCTGCCGGAAGAAAGTTCCACTGACATCTCTCTAAAATATTGCACATCCGAACTGGCAGAAGGAATGATAGAATCCAATAGATTGAGGAAGCACTTAAGACCGACTTAATCAACTGAAGTCTACCTGCAAAAGATAATGTTAAAGTTTCCCAAGATCCAATTTTAGCAACTGTCTTCTCCACCAAAGACTGACAATGGGAGTGTTTTAGAGCGCCATGAAAGAGAGGCAACCCAAGATATTTTTCTGGCAGACCCCCTTCCCCAAACTGAAGAATATCCATAATTTTTTATTTAACTCATCACCACAACCAAAAAATAGAATTTTACTTTTCATAGAATTACGTTTTTGCCATGTAGCCCCACAGAAAAAATACAGGATGTTACTTACCACAATTGCAGTTTTAGAGGATGGCTCACAAAAATTTAGGATATCATTTGCGTATAGTAATTGGGAGACCCCATAGTTCGAGTCGGAGGGAAAAGTTGACGGCAGGGAGTTATTTTTAGATTTCCTTTAATTGTGTCTATAAGACTCACAAACTGCTAGTCAGGGGAAATCCATAGAGCAATTCCTCATCTTATGTTATTCTTCTTGCATGCACATGTTGCAGTCAACCAAACGTGAGATAAACTGCTATATATTTCAAAAGATCATAAAATAGACCATGCGTGCAAGAACTTGACCGACGCACATAAAATTCATGTTCATATTATGGTAGACCATGTTCATATGATGGTATGAAAATTTATTTTTATTTTTAATTATAAAATTCAGAGCTTTAAAAATAGTGTAGATCAAGCAGATCTATGAATATTTGAAAATCTTGAAAATTGATGGCCCAAAAATGCATAACAAGATACACTATTTTCAATACTAAAAATCCATATTTTTTCATGTCCATACATCTTAAGGTCGAGATGATCGATTTGAGGATTTTTAAGTATCAAAAAATCTCTTCTAGTGAATTTTTGAAGTACCCATTAATTTGATTGTTTAGAGCCTCACCCTTATATAAACTGTTTTTAAATAGTTAAATGACAATTGACTTGGTGTACGTCATTGGGTATGGCATGGGCTAACGGTTCAGAACCTGCTCTACTCCCATCTCTTTGACTTTGCTTTCTCTTATTATTCAATCAATTTCATTCAAATTTCAACGACCCTTTACCTTATCTCTCTCTCTCCTACTATGTAAAAGAAAACCACGCCATTCATTTCCATTTAGGAAAAAATTTATATAGAGCGGAGGTTCTAAACAATCAAATTAGAATCCACCTCAAAAATTTTATTAAAAAAAGTTGATTTGAAAAATATCGTCAAATTAAAAAAAAATGGATTTCAAATTTTAAAAATAGTACATCTTATAGCACAGTTTTTTACTATCAATTTTTAAAAAATTTCAAATTTTTATAGATCTACTAGATCTTCACCATTTTAAAAGTTTTAAATTTTTATAATTAAAGATGAAAATATATTTTAAAGCTAGGACATATTTCGCGTATTGAAACAACATTTCTTGACACTATTTGAAGGTGGGTTTTACTTTGTTTGTTTAGAGCCTTGGCTCTATACAAACCTCACCCCTAATCTACTGTCTTAAAGAGCGTAAGTGCTCCATATTTGGCGGGTTAAGTTTGAGCTTCAGGATTCCAAGGGCCAGGCCTTTGTGCACTTGACGTGCACAAATGGCGATGCTTTAATAAATATTGTGCATCATCTGCTTAAAACGATGGGAACAGGGTCAGGGTTTTATTGTGCTTTTTCATGGTTGCAGCTCTCATATCCTTGGACTAGTGAGACGCTTGATTTGGTTTTGAGTTAATCCTGTCATTAATATGGTGATCAAAACCTAAATTGGTTATCAATTTGATGATCATCATGATCAAATGCTTCAATCTGTCTCTCTCTCTCTCTCACTTGTTATCTGCTTTGATTGAAACTTAAGAGATCTCACAACTAGCGTGAAAAGATGGGGGTCTGCTGAATTGCAAAGTGATTTGTGAGATTTGGGCTTGCTTGAGTAAGATTGGGGATTGAGAGGTACCAGTCCAAGATTTGGCCTCTAATATTCTGACGTCTACTATGTAAAATATTTGAGATTCTTGCTTTGGTTTTTTTGTTCTTTTTTATTTTTCTCCAAACTTTTGATTTTATCTAGCTCTCCTGAGCAAGATATTTGTGGGAATTTATAGTTTTAGTTCAGTGAAGAAAGATTTAAGGTTATCACAAAAAGTCCTACAACAGTAGCTTTGTGGGTTGGGAATTCTGGAATTTTCTGTTATTTAAAAAAATTTCAGACAATTTGGGTTGCTCTAATCTTCGAAAGGCTGAGAGAGGAAAGCATTTACAAAATAAAAGGGTAACAAAGGGTATTTAGAGATCATTCTTGAGTGCTGTGGGAGGATTTCAGCTAGTACAATAAATATAAATATAAATATGTGTATATATTTTCACTGTCTAAGAAAGGGATTTTGAAGAAAGAGCTCGGGCTAAGATATTTTGTAAGAAGACAAAAAGAAAGGAGAAATGGGGAATCTTAAGGACGTTGATTAGAATCATTATAAAAGTATGAAGAATGGGCCTGCTTTGACCTCTAAGTTTTAGAAGGATAAAAATAAATTGTTGCCCTTGGCAGCATTAGAGAAAAACACTGTTGAATTTGGTAGCCTCAATCCACATTGAAACTCTCTGTTTTAGAGAAGGAATAGAAGGAAATTCGGGAAGCCCCATTTATTTATTTTGCTCTGTGCTTCAAGGAAAGAAGGCACTCATCAATGGCAGAAGCAAAAGCCCAAATAAATAGAGAAATGGATGGTACCACTCATGATACAGGAGCATCTATGGAGAATTCATCATACCAGGTGGAATCAGAAACAGTTCATAGAGATGAGACCGTTGTTGATGGTGAGGAAGAAGGGGACTTGAAGCATAATCTCGATTCATCGAAGGAAATGAAGGATCCTCTACAACAAGTAGAGGAGAATTCATCAAACCAGGTGGAATCAGAAACAGTTCATAGAGATGAGACTGTTGTTGATAGTGGGGAAGAAGGGGAGTTGAAGCCTAATCTCGATTCATCGAAGGAAATGAAGGATCCTCTCCAACAAGTAGAGGATGGTACCACTCATGATACAGGAGCATCTATGGAGAATTCATCAAACCAGGTGGAATCAGAAACAGTCCATAGAGATGAGACTGTTGTTAATATTGGGGAAGAATGGGACATGAAGCGTAATCTTGATTCATTGAAGGAAAGTAAGGATACTTTACAGCAAGTGCCTGAAAAAAATATCTGTGTTATTGATATCAAAGGCGATGGAGAAGAGAAAGTTGAGTTTGAGAGCAGAGAAAAGGCGGGCGAACCTGTTTGTCGAGTATGTCATTTTTGTTCTGTTAACCACTCTGGTCCTTCAGACCTCATGAATCTTGGGTGTGGCTGTAAAGGTGACCTCGCCATGGCTCATAAGCAATGTGCAGAGGCCTGGTTCAAAGTCAAAGGTGACAGGTGAGCTTCCTTTGTCTCCTTTTTTTGCTTCTTTCAACCTGATTTGTCTCATTAGTTTTCGGGGTCAGATTCCTGGTTTAGTTCTGATATTGCCCCAGAATTATTTCTGTGATAATTTGCGCTGTTGACTTTAATCTACTCTGAAGCCATGTTATTTTTATCACAGGTATTTTCAGTAGGTGTATAGGCTTGCTGAAAATAACCTGTAACTCAGGTATCTGAGAGTTCATGTTGGTCTGTTTTGAAACATATTAAAAACTTGTGCCAAAATAGGTATGTTCCCACAAGGCACACGAGTAAACATAGAGTATCGAAACGACAGATGAAGGAAAAGGTTTTAATGGTTTACAGAAAGCAAGTTATACTGTGCTGGTCATGAGAAACTCTACAAGCAGAATGGAGAAAGCAGCTTATGCAAATCCTTGGAAATAAGCTAAGGATGTTGTTTGATTATAGAAGTTGCCAGTTGATTGAAATATGAAACAACTGTAGGATTGCTTATACCATCTGTATTATTATCTTCACTTACCATAGCTACCATGGCATGTGTCGAAGAGAAAACAAAGAAAAAACTGCCATTCCCTGAAATAGTTTATTTAGTTTGGTAAACCTATGGACTTTACGTTATCTGCAACATTCTCAAGAGTGTCTGGTTTCAGAGGAGTCCAATGATGCATCTAATGTAAGTCTTTGGAATCTTTTTTTCTGTTTATCCTCCCTAAGTCTAGCCTTTGAAATCTATGAAACCTGATAGCATTTCCCAGTGATTAAGCTTAAGCCTGTCCTGACTTGCTGTTGTTCCTAGAAATTCTCTGATTGACTGTACCGCCGCTGCAATTTGGCTTCAGTTCAAGGCTCACACATCCTGTAATGAGCTCTTCCTTCTTGAAGGCTGTTTAACCTAGTCATCAAACCTGAAGAACCTTCATTGCTTGAGTCAGTGCTCTATAACAAAACTGAGGGTATTGATATACCCTCAAAAATAGACTCTATGAAGACCAGCTTGAATAGCCCTTTAAAAATAATGGACTTTTGGGAAATCGATTTTCTACATGTGAGGCCTTAAAGCGCTGTGCTTTAGATGGGGATGCCTTTTTACACTGTATCCCACCAAATGATCATATTTCAAGAATGGTATATCTTAAGAAAACGCATGAAGTCTAGAGCTGGTTTAACTGAATTTTCTAAGACTGAATAAAATTAGTAGATAAAATAATGATTGTAGAATCACAAATCCAAGAGGAATCTAGCTTGTAAATTTAAAGAGCTAACTTTCTTAGTTAACAGTATTCTAACTACCAATCTTTAGAGGACATAGTAGCTGTATGCATGAAATATTTGGTTGTTATTGATGTCAGATATTGCGAAATTTGTGGTGAAACTGCAAAAAACATCATCGGCGTTGGAGACAATAACTTTATTGAGCAGTGGAATGAGGGTGAGGTCATCCACACCATCCCCACTGAAAGGACGAAGTGCTGGCGTGGTCAGCCACTCTGCAACGTGTTGATGATTTGCATGATTTTGGCATTTGTGCTTCCATGGTTTTTTCGTGTAAATATGTTTTGAAAGCAGGATATTGTGGCCATCTTCACCAGTGTATCCCATTTTCTATCATATTACTGTTTCATTTGTTTGTGGTATTGCTTGCTTCAAAATTTTGGTCTCATGTAAAAGGTGAATATCGATATTTACAGTCCAAAGTATATTGCCCACTCAATAGTGTCACACTCATTGAGTTATTGTATACTTGGAGTTGTCAGTGAGAATGATACTCATTTGTAAATTTTATACTCACAGTCCTCGTGTGTTTCTTTTTTATCACTATAAAGATGTGGCTTGGATTATGGTTCAAATTTTCTGATATTGTATTTTTTGATGAAGGTCAAAACCAAAGTTTTGGGCGTCCACCTAAGACTAAAATTAAAATTCAATATTCAGTTACAAAATTGATTCAAAATTTGTCTGCGTTTCGTTTGAAAATGACTTACATTCAGTTGATATTCAAGCCAATTTTTGAAGAAAAATTTTCAGTGAAATTGAGCATTTGGCCAACTTCATTGGAACTTTTCTTTTTTCATGTGGAATCCTGATCCTCAGATCAATCCTAAAGGTGAAACATCTTTAATTTGAAATATGTGTTATATGGGCGAACGAGTGAAGATGATATATGGCTAATAGTAATCATATGAATTGGTTCCTCATTTAAAGATATTTGCTCCATAGTTCAGTCTGACCTCAATTTGTTCACTTTCAGCTGAATTTTGACAGAACTTGCATTTTAGCTAGGTGAAGGCAATTTGGTTGAATTTCTTGTGAAGTTCGAGCATTGTGGTGACGATAGCCTATGGGCATCATGATGCCTCTTCAGCCATCTACTTAATGTTGTGTTTTTTTACTTTCTTGGTGGCTAACCTCGTTCAATGTTGGATCAGGATAGATAATCAATTATAGCAATAAAGATATCATATGTAAGAGCAATGATTTCATGCAACGGTTGTATAAAAGATGCAACAATATTCGAAAACATGTTATGGCCATTTGTTTGATCCAAAATTTGAAATATACACTACCTTCTGCCAAAAGCTTTTAAGAGGTTTTCCTTTTTCGAAATTAGGATATTTTAGTTAAGGATGCAATTTCTATGGGGACTAGGCTTTTATGAAAACTAAATAAAGCCTCACATCGAATCCTCATCTAGAAAGCACTTTGAGCATCGAAAATCTCCATGATGGCTCTAAAATCAATTTTCAATACCGATTATGAAAATTTGAAGCTAAAAAAATGTACAGATCTTGTAGATTCGTGAAAATTTATTTCGTGAAAATTTATTTTTGGGACGAAATATATGGTTTAGGTAATGTGTTACAATATACATTATATTTAGAGTTTGAAATCCTATTTTTTTATAATGTGATTATCTATTTAAAGGTTTTTTATGCTAAAACTGCATTTTTTTGGTAAGTTTTGAAGTGAGGCTTTACTTATTTTTATAGAGCTGCTGCTCTATCAAACCATTGTCGTTTAGTTACTGTTGTAAAATGTGAAACGATTGCATTTGGTCAAATAAAGGTAATTTTAATTCATGAGAGATTAATCTTTGGGGCTTCCAGCTCTACGAAGCCTGATGGGTGCTCATTGACTTATATAACCCTTTTAGAAGGTAAAATACCAAAGGAATCATCTGGAAATGCATATTAATCCACGCAAAATGTTAGACTTTTATTAGAATATAAAGCAGAAAGGCCATTAGATCATTGGCATGAAAAATGGAAGGGAACTTTATCAAATTAAGAAGGAGAAATTTATGTAGCTCACATCAAAAATTTCACTAGAAGACATTGTTTTGATTCCCAAATATCTTCAAATTGATTATCTCGACATCAAGATGCATAGACATGAGAAAAAAAATAGATTTCAAGTTTTGGAAATAGTGCATCTTGTAATGCATTTTTGGACCGTCAATTTTCAAGATTTTCAAGTTTTCATAGATATGCTTGATCTACACTATTTTTAAGCTTCAAATTTTATAATCAAAGATGAAACGATATTTTAAGACTGTCACAAAGATCTCCATTATTGAAACCATATTTCTCGACATTATTTGAAGGTACTTTGATTGTTTAGAGCCTCAATTCTATACAAACCGCACCCAATTAAGGATGAGAAATAAACAATTTAATAATTTTATAAATATTATGTGGAGACCACCCCACCCTGCCACCCTTTTTTCAAAATTGCCCCCCTATCCGACATTTCCTATATCGGACAGGTGGGAAATTTCATAATTTTTTGTTTCTTTTTTATTCGAGGCCCGTCCGATATCAGAAACACTGAATGACCTTATCTATTGGGTTGTTTAGTGTTTGAAATATCGGATAAGGAGCAATTCTGAAGGGTTGTTTAGTGTTTGAAATATCGGATAAGGAGCAATTCTGAAAAGAAAAGGGTGGCGTATTGGGGTGGTCTCTGCATAGTATTTACAAAAATATGGAGCATCTCATAATACAAGATATAAATAATGGTCTACAAGTAATTTTTCCTATTTAAAATAGATAATTACCCTGACGACCGTTGAAGTAAATTTTCCTATTTATAGAAGGTTCCTGAACAAACTCCATGGAAAACCAAAAAAACAAGGTACTTTTAGTTCACAACGAAATAGATCTACCCAATTTCCGTTGAGTAGATTTCAAAGAGTCTACATAGGAATAAACTTGAAGTCAAGCTTCACTACTAAAAATTAATACATTGCAAAAGCCACAAGTCTCATATCATATGATTGTATATTGAATTTTAATGGGGGAAATGGTGGACTTGGTCTTGTGCATATTCCATGGGGATTCCGTGCCATGTGTAACACCATTCGAGGTTTCGAAAATATGTAAATAAGAAACAGCCAAGAAGACAAAAAAGATAAACCCTAAAACCTAAACTCTAGACTTAAAATAATAGAATCTGGTTTAGAGAGAGAGAGCCACATTTCATAATCCTTTATTATGACTTTAAAAATGATGATCGTGTTAAGAACGGCTGTTTTGTATATCACATTGAACAAACCAACAAAGTAAACAAACTAATGCTGATTATCTTTTTCTTTTTTTCTTTTTTCAATGGTAACTTGAATGACCTCCTTAGTATATACCAAATGTCAAGATGTCATTTTAACTTTGGCTATACGGACATATAAAAAAAGTTAAAAAAATCTACTCATTAGGTGTGTTTGAATGGGCCGAGTTCTTAAGCTAACAAGTGCTATAAAAGAGGAAAAAATATGTTTAAAGTCAAATTAAACAAACACATCTAGGTTAAAACAGTAGTGAGAAAATGGATTTTGAAAAAAAATAAAATTGTGCCTGGGTTATTTCCTATAAAAGAAATGTAAACAATGAGGCTATTTGTTTTTGGTATGTAGATGTCACAATCATCACTGCCTGTCAGATTTGAAATCAAATGGTTGAGGATGTGTCATTATTTGGGCACAAAATTCAAAATAAAATTTTTCGAATGTTGTGACACACTTTCATCTATTAATGATTATGAGCTTGTATAAAAAAAAAAAAGTCTAAAACAAAAGGTCTCACAATATACAATCCCATAAATTATCCAAAAAAAAGGCAAAAATGTAAAAAGTATTCATGCCCAAACATTTTTTAATCTTTGCCAAAATGATAAAATATAAAATGTATATATATATATATATATAAAATAATTTTTTATTTTTAAAACTTATAATTTTTTGAAATTTCTTTTTTTAAAGATCATCGAATTGCACACTAGATTAGGCTCCTAAGGGTGGCGAGCCCAAGTTACTCAGGCGAATCTGAGCTGCCGTACCCAAATAATCAAACACAGCTCGTTACCAAAACCCGAGGCCGAGCCCTCCTTAGCCAACTCAACCTTCTTTAGCCCCATATTTCATCTTAATATGATTTGTAGAAAATATAAAATAAGCGTCAAATATTTTTGAGTTGTCAAGACCAGATGCTAGGATGCTCACCTCTAATATTATTAATGACGCAATTGTAACCATGTATTCCGACTGAGAATTGTAGTAACATACATTGTAAAAAAAAAAAAAGAATTATAGTCACATACATTTTAAAATTGCTTGTATTTAAGATAAACGTCTTGAGTCATTGAAATGTACACTATTATATAATATAAATATCTACGTGGTAGATACGCAGATATTATTTGACCGCTATATTAAATATCGATTTTGATGTTATTTGGTCTCTATATTAATGGGTCAATGTAGTCATTTTGTGGAATGGGTATGCATGGACGCACTTAGAGAAATAGCATTGAAACAGTAGTCTCCAATACATGAATACAACAGAGTGAATAATATATTACTTGATTAATCCTCTACATCCTTCAAAAATCAACCCTAGAATAATAGATTGTATATCTTTACAATGAGGTCACAATCTTTCTTAGTTATAGTTTTCTTGGTAGGGGTGGCAATGGGTCGGGTCCGGCCCGAATAGTATTCAGGTCCAGGTTTTGGACCTGGACCCAAAATCGGGTCTTCCCATCAGGTCTAGTCGGGTCCATTGCCACCCCTATTTGTTGGTCGGCTGTAGTGTACAATTGACCAGACTCAAGTTTAAAATCAAAATTTTTGAACTTTATTACATACACCCCAAGCTATCGGATTTAACATCTTACAATTGAGAGTAATCGTGATCTCTTTGTACCAAGAATAAATGATTGTATAACATACAAATCCATAATATTAAAAGATGAAAGAAAAAATATCCTCACATGAAAACAAATATGATGAAGAAACCACTATGAAGAAAAATTGGTGACAATGTATTAATAAAGGGTGGGGATTATACAGATAGGTGCCTCTCTAAATTCTGTTGGAAGAAGTGATTCAAGAGTCACAAGTCTATGATAGCTTGAAAACTTGTATTCAACCTTAATTATGAAATTTAAAATTTAAAAAATAATGCAAATCGAACATATCTATAAACGTTTGAAAAATCTTAAAAATAGATAGTCAGATAACTTCTTACAAGATGCATCATTTTTACGATTTTAAATTCATTTTTCTTTAAAACTATATATCTAGAGGTCAAGATGATCAATTGAAAAATTTTCCAACTTCTAAAAACTCTTTTCTACTGATTTTTTGTGTGCATCTTATTTCTATAGTATAAGATTGCAACCTTATATAAACTTCTTTCTCCGTAGGGCTTCTATGAGTCCGTAGATTCATCTATTCACACGAGTCCTCCCTCTAAATCTATTTAGACATGGATTTTGGAATGAAAATTTTACGAATCCATATTCTAAGCTACAGTGATCACGAATATTAAAAAGAAAATCATAAATTTTAAATTTA